TGCATCCCACAGTACGAGGATGGTGCCTGCTGTCCGACTAGCTTCTCATGTCGTGGGTATCATGTTAAATTTCCTTCTTCTTTTCTTTTATGATGTGTGTAATTATTTTCATTTTTTTATACATAGGATTCTCATTTTTTCTATTTAATTTTTAACTATTCACACCAGACATAGTCTTTTAGAAATTATAAGAAAATTATTGCATTGAGGAATAGTTGTACCATTTCAAACATGATTATGAATATAAGATATTTTAAGCTCTTTCTCTTTTATATTTTGTTTTATGATCAGATATTGTTTATATATTTTCCTTATTAATATTTATGTTTTAGTAGAGTACAACATGCACTGTTATTATATTATTTTTACTTTTCATTTACTTATCATTAACTATTAATTGACCTTTTTTGACAATGTTTAAAAATTGTTTTGAATATTTTTAGTTTAACTGTGACTACTGTATTTTGAGCAATAGCTTGTTCTGTTTTAAAGCAAATATTTTTTTTATATCAGCCATTACTATATGGTATTTTGACTACCATTTTAACTACCATTTAATGGTATTTTGACAATTATTTTAATATATTTGATTTTGATTTTTTTGTGTTTGAATTTTTGTGTTATTGTTTTTTGAATGTCATTTCATTTTTTGAATTTCTTTTCTGTTCAAACAGCTCCTTCAGACTCTGTTATACCAGACCCAACGAAATGTTACTACAGAGGTAATTTCTACGAAAATGGTGAAGAAGTGCCTGTGGAAGACGTCTGTTCAGCTAGCTGTCGTTGCCATGCCGAGACCGCGTGAGTTCAAGTGTTTGATGATGCTTGAAGTGTTGGCTAGCTTGTTTTTTTGTTAACGTTTATTTTTGTTCAATTTTGACTAAATACAGGAGCCTTAGTAATAATTATATTAGATATAATGATAATGATAATAATAATAATAATGATGATGATTATGATATTGAAAATATCAATGGTAATAATGGTGATAATGTCAGTGGTAATATTAATAATATTGATGATTATGTATGTAATAATCCCATCATCATCACATGATGATGATAAACAAAAATTATTTTTTTAAATTTTAGTGCTTACAAATGTGTCATTGAAGATGTAAATGTATGTTTGCTTTATCTTCAGGCCTCAGATACACTGTGCCAACATTGAGTGCCCTAGCTTGTTCAGGCCTCCTCGCCCTGGGTGCCGTCTCCTCTTCTCTCCTGACCAGTGCTGCTCAACAGACGAGGAGTGCCGTATGTATTTCCTGTAACTGTGATGATTAGTTTCTCCCTGTATAGACAAGTGTAACTTTTTTTTTTTTTTTTTTTTTTTTTTTTTTTCCTTGTATGGTTTTAAGCATTTCTCACACTGTCAAGTTATTTTTTTCTTTCTGTGGATGTATGAATGCATATATGTTATTGCTTATCAAGTGGATATGTATATTTTATTTATTTGAACATGTTCTGATTACTTTCCTAAACTCTATATCCATAATTTTTGTAGATAGCATCACAACTGGGAAATGCACAGTGTTTGATATTCTCCTCAACTGATCCTCCCTCTTATTCTTTTCATGAACAGGGGACCCCGCAGCACCACCAGACTTAGAGACTCGTGCTGTTGGGTGCTCATGGGGCAACAAGACTTACCAAATTGGAGATAAGATGTACTTCGATGATTTCCAATGCCAGTCTTGTGTGTGTACTCCAGAGTTCACAAGCCCAACAGGTCCTGGTTGTTCAAAGATTGACTGTGGATTTGAATTCCGGTTAGTTGAAAGTCACTGAATCTCGGTATGCTGTTTACTCCATAATGTACCATGTTAAAAGATGTCTGTATTTTAACGTCTCTGAACCTTTATAATATTTTTGTACCTTGATAAGGTATAACTGAGTATGTCATGCTGTACTATAGGACTGAATGGTGTAACTGTTCCGTCATATCCAAATCTTGTGAATATTAACTGTTATCAAGTTCAACAAAACTCTGGTTAGATTTTTTTGATCAAGCCAAAACATCAGTTGGGAACATGGAGAAATAAAACTATGGTAGATTTTCTAAAGGACAAAACCAATTGACTGACCTAGTTTACCTACTTATTATTAATAATTATCAAAAGATCAGTCAAAATTGATTTGTGATACATGGTGTAGGAGAGACATTGTAGATTTTCCTGAACCATCTAACAGACCCTTAAATAATTCTCTGTGGTATTCAGTGGGGTGTGTAAACTCCAGTTGCAGAAAACTTTCTTTCATCATTATCTTTCTCTTGATTTTTCACCAGGTGTTGGTTTTACATGGTCTAAATCAGCAATGTCCAAACACTTTCACCTATTGTACCCTTTATTACCTTCTTGTACTGTTACCCCCCCCCCCCCAAGAGTATTGGTCAATAAATTTGAATCTAATAAACAAATAAAAAAGATGATTTAATAACAAAACGCTTGAAAAAAACACACAGGGGTACACGGACCCCAGTTTGGACAACACTGGTCTAAATTATGCGAAGTTACAAAGAAAAGACTGTGTAACTATATGTTTTTATAGGATAGATTTTATTTATCCTTGTGGTGATTTCATTTAGCTTTATTTCGACTTTATCTGAATCAAGTTTACCTTTGTGAGTATTTTGCTTATGACAAGTTCATCTTTATATGGATTTTAACTGTATCTTTGTGTGGAATTTACTTTTTACAAGGTTGCTCTATATGGATTTAATGTTTAACAATGTTATTGTATTTACAGATACACCTCCAGGCTTGCAGATGGTTGTGTGCCAATTTTCTTCGAGGATAAGTGTTGTTCCATTGACTGGCTGTGTCGTAAGTTTTCTCTTTTTCAATTTTTGGCTTTAGTCCTTAAATAGCAGTTGTTGTATTATGTCCTTGTAGGGATAACATTACATTCACTTTTCCTTTGATTATTGTATGTGATTAATCATTGTCCACTCTATTTTTATACTGATATCTAGCAGAATTTGTATATAAGTATCTACATATTCCCTAGTAATAATATTGAGATTCCCTGTACCTTTTGCATATATTTGTTTATTTTTTCTACAACTAAAACTTCAATATTTTTTAGCTGGAGACAGTCGCATCACACCAACTGATGCAGTACAGCAGCAACAAAGAGTTTCACCACAGAAAAAAGATGGTGAGAAGGCACATTTTTTGCATTTGTTTGCCATTATTCTGCAAAAGTGCTTATTGTAAAGAATTCAATTTCAGTTAAATTCCATACAATATTTGTTCAGCATCAGAGAACAGACTAATGAATGAAAATCAAAACAAAGAAAGATTCCACAATTTTTTTTTTGTTTTTTTACTTTATATTTTTCTTTCTCTCATTTCGATTTCTTGTTTTACCTAGTATTTAGCCATTTTTTTCTACAACTACAGATCAGTGCCATTTAGGAGAGCTCACTATTAGCCACGGTTCAAAACTCAACATTAACAACTGCAGGATTGACTGCAGGTGCACAACACCTCCTGAGCTGACCTGTGTTCAGTACAGGTCATGTGAGTTGGCTGCAGAGGTTACCCAACCAAAAGGTAAAGCTCCAGTAAGAAAAGGGAAATGGTAGTGACATAGCACTATGGCAGTAAAGTGTATAGTACAAATTTGTAGTATGACTGAAATATCCATAACAGTGTTTCCTTTGCTTAGAGAGTATTCCAGTTTGAATTATTTTTATCATTCTGTGCTGAACTGTGAAGACTTTTTTTGCAATATCAGTTATACTGCCATATTTATTTGGTAATATCTTAAAAAGAAAAATCTTTCAAGGGAAAACTTAAACAATGTTTTTTGTTATTTACAGATTGCCCTGAAGTAAACTGTCCTCCAGCATGCCAGACTATTACTGATGTTGCCACTGGGTGTCCAGTATGTTCCTGCACTAAATATACTTTCTCCTGTGAAAAGAAGGAATGCCCAAGTGGCTGTCGAACTGATTTTGACAGCAAAACTGGTTGTCTTACTTGTAAATGTCAGTGTCCTAAACACCCAGTCCCATGTCCCATGGACTGTGCTGTGCGACATGTTATGGATGAAACAACAGGGTGTGAGGTGTGTGAATGTGATCCCAATAACCCTGGGAATCCTTTTGTTCCTCTTGGTCGCTCCAATTGTCCCACCTATCCTCTTGGACGTCTCCCATGCCCTCAGGATTGTGCAGTCAGAACAGTTGTAGATGAGAGAGGTTGTGAGAAATGTGAGTGTGATCCCAATCATCCTGGAAACCCATTTGGCCCTCCACAACGCTCTGACTGTCCCACAGACTACACTGGACGAGCTCCATGCCCCATGGATTGTGCCATTCGTTATGTCACTGACCCGGAAACAGGCTGTGAGAAGTGTGAATGTGACCCTGCAAATCCTGGTCATCCCTTTGGTCCTCCCCTTGGTTCAAATTGCCCCAGAGGTCCATCAGGAAAACCCCCATGCCCCATGGATTGTGCCATTCGTTATGTCACTGACCCGGAAACAGGTTGTGAGATATGTGAATGTGACCCTGCAAATCCTGGTCATCCATTTGGTCCTCATATTCCTCCCCCACGTATGAATTGCCCTGTAGGTCCTTCTGGAGAACCCCCTTGCCCCATGGACTGTGCCATTCAGTATGTCACTGACCCTGAAACAGGATGTGTTAGGTGTGAATGTGACCCCAATAGGCCTGGACACCCATTTGGACCCCAAATTATATGTCCTCGTGACCACACTGGTAAACCCCCATGCCCTATGGACTGTGCAATTCGTATAGTGAAGGACGAACAAACTGGCTGCGATAGGTGTGAATGTGACCCTAATAATCCAGGCAATCCCTTTGGGCCTTATTGACTCCATTGGTAAAATTTTCTTTAAAAAGGTATCTTGATTGGTTACCCTATTTTGCCTTTTGATAACTGAAAATGTCCTGCCTTTTTATTATTATTTTTTTATATTGCCAAATCAAAGCCATCTATGGTTGTCCTTGGTAGGAACAAATCTCAA